GAGAATACAGAGGAGTATAATTGATAATAAACTCATCAACAAGTTTTGGATTTGATTCCTTCCCAGAAGATGATTCATATCCAATCCCTTTTCTGTTGTTTCTGCTCACACCATAGATCATAGAAGCCATTTTGCTTATGTCTATGCTTCTGGACAGGAACCTTTGAAAACTATGGTCATACTCTTATAAAATATTTTTAGAGCTAGACGTAGTATCTGTTTCAGATTTTGTTGAGCTTTTTTCAATTCAATTTTAATTTGAAAATTATTTTCTTTTAGCTCAGCAATTTCTGATTTTAGCTGACCAGTCTCAGATGTAAGACTGCTTTGCAGCTTCTTGTATTTGAGTCTGATCTTACTATAGTTTTCACATATTTCAGATAAGCTTTCAATTAACTCATCTCTGGTGAGATCAGCAAATACCTCTTCTGAAACTGATTCTGATCCAGATTCGGATGATTCTTCATGCTCCTCTATGTCAGCCATTAGTGCAACGTTTGCACATTCGTCCTCAGACTCTAACAAGGCTTCAGAAGAATCTGAGTCATCCCAAGTAGCCATCAAGACTTTCTTTTTCTTCTCAAACTTCTTCTTGGGTTTATCCTTTTGAAGTCTGGGACAATCATTTTTGTAGTGTCATGGCTCTTTGCATTCATAGCACACTACTTCCTTTTTGCTAGATCTTCTGTGACCAGAGGATTCTCCATGGTGTTCTGGTCTTTTACATTTTCTGAACTTCTTTTGCTTGTGCTTCTAGAGTTGATTTATTCTTCTGGATAGTAAAGATAGTTCGTCTTCATCTGATGAAGAATCTCTAGAGCTTTCTTCTAGTACCTAAAAAGCTTTAGTTTCAGATTTTTTATTAGATTTTAAAGTTATGGACTTACCTTTCTTCTGAGGCTTATCTTTTTCAAGCTCTATCTCATGGCTTCTTAAAGAACTGATGAGTTCCTTCAGAGTGATTTTGTTCAGATCTTTTGAGAGCTTTAACGTTGTGAGCATAGGTCTCCACCTCTTTGGTAAACTTCTGACTATCTTCTTTACATGATCATAAGTGGAGTAGCCTTTGTCAAGAACCTTCAATCTAGCAGTCAGAATCTGGAATCTAGAAAACATGGTTTCCACAGATTCATCTTCCTCCATCTTGAAGGCTTCATACTTTTGAATCAGCGCTAGAGCCTTCGTTTCTTTCACCTGCGTGTTTCCCTCGTGTGTCATCTTCAAGGACTCAAACATGTCATGCGCTGTATCTCTATTGGTGATTTTCTCATATTCAGTATGAGATATATCGTTCAGCAGAATCGTCCTTGCCTTGTGGTGATTCCTGAAGTCTTTCTTTTGTTGATCAGTCATTGATTTTCTATCAATCTTTTTACCTTCACCATTAGTGGGGTGAGTATATCCATCGATGACTATATCCCAGAGATCAGCATCATAGCCAAGAAAGAAGCTTTTGATTCTGTCCTTCCAGTAATCGAATTTTTCTCCATCGAACATAGGAGGCTTTGTGTTGATTCTGTCTTTCTCTTCATATTTGTTGTTCAACCCAGCGTTAGCGTTGTTTGAAGATTCAGCCATAGTAAATCAAAGAGTTTTCCAACCGGATCTTTTCTCTGTCACTGTTAAGTGATAGCACTCAGAACCGTGCTCTGATGCCAACTGAAGGAAGGAAAACACTAAGAACGGGGGGTTGAATAAGGGTTTTAAAAAACAAATAAGGCAATAAAAATAACAGGTATTTTTATACTGGTTCATTTGAACTCAAACTACTCCAGTCCACCTGGCCAAGGTGATTTCGCCTCTTTCAAAAGAGGACTTAATCCAATAATCAAAAACTGATTACAATCTTTTCACTAAGACAAACTTGTCTTAGTCTTCTCGAGAATACTGACCATAACTTGGTCTCTCAAGGATCTTTTACAAAGTAATACAATAAAATGTGTTTAAGTGCTTCTTAGAAAAGCTTTTTCACAACAGTGATTTTACACAAATGAAGATCAATGAAACTTTCTATTTTCTCTTCAGCAAAGTAGTAGTTCGTTGTAGAATAATGTTGTGTGTATTTGAATTGCTGTTTAAGACTTGTTTAAATACTTCACACCCATTTCTCAAATAGCGTGCACATACACAAAAGAGGAATGTTCAGAGATATCCTTTTTGTTCTAAAATCCTGTCTCATACATAAAAGAGGAATATTACCGTTGGATGTAGACAATGAGTTTGACAACGGATCTTTCATGATCAGCATCTTTTTAAATATGGAAATATTTCCTGCATCAGATCCTCTGATGATGTTCCATTTTCTTCTTATCAGAGTAACTCTCTTCCAGAGTTCTGCAGCTTAGTGCTAGCGTGATTGTTTTAACAAAGTGTTCATCCAGAGGAGCGCTTTAGATCAGAGCAGATCTTCACTCTTATGTGTTATCCGTATTATCCAAATGTATCACTTTGTTACTATTGTTTCAGAGCCTTACGTGTTTTGATTCTCAGAGCCTCTGCAGTTGCAGCGTTGAGTTTAGTACGCTCAGAGTTTTCTGAATCTTCGCTTTACACTCTACGCTCAGAGCCTTTTATAGCTTCGCTTTTTACCAAACGCTCAAAGTCTTCTGCGTGTTGTAGCTTAACGTTCAGAGGAATATTTATTATGTTATCTGAAACAAAAACACTTGAACAAAATTAGAGTATATATTTTCTCCATACAAAATTTCATTATTGTTATCATTAAAACATTGAGATATATTAAGAACCAATTTGTGTTCTAACACTATCGCCCTTGGGTGTGGTAGTAATCTAGTTGGTTTTCTACATGATCAATATGGTGGTCCCCGGTACTGTCATATCTCTGTAGCTTTTGAGGCTTTTTCAATGACCTCGAAATCCTGCTATCGAGGATGCCGACAGACATTGGGTTCTTTTTTTCACTTTGGAACTATAACGCCCTCATTATATCTTTCTTTCCTTTGAGGATGCTATGTTGGTGAATGATAAGGATGGAAATCCTCCGAGGAAGTGTGAATATCGCTCCTTCCTTTAGGATTAGGTGGATGAGTTATATGTCTTTGATGTAAGTTGTGAGTCAGGGACCTCATGGCTTTTCCTCGTGATGTTGATGTCCTAATGAAGGTTGACTTATGTACAACGACTTGAGTGCCTTAGGAGTCCGCCCCTCGCATAATGTTATTCCTCAACGTAACATGTTGTATGCTTTCTTTAATCCTGAATAGTCTCTCTACTAAAAGTTATGAATTATGTTGGTGCATCAAATTATATACATTGTTCAGCAAGTCGGTGGCTCCTTGTACTCCCAGATTGTCCTGTAACAGTTGAAGACTAGGGAACATTTTTTGTCTCGATATAATAGGCAATGAAGGAGGTCAATGTGATGGTTCGCCTTGGTAAATTTTGTTTTGCAGATCCGAAGATTGGGAGAGCTTGGAATTCTCTTTGACTAACTCTAAATGGAGCATGATCTTGTTGTGTGTGGTTAGAATGAGATGCCACCAGAACTAGATCATCTTCTACTTAAGAAGGATGAGGATGAGGAAGAGGTGAAATCCTAGCAGCTTTAGTGGCTGCAACGACAACTTGCCATTAAACGACAAATCAAGTGACTTTGGATACCAATACGCTTGATGAATCCGAGAATGGATATGTCAAAGGAGGAGGTTAAAACTTCCAGAAGGAAGATCAAGAACCATATATCTGAACCTCTAGAAAAGAAGATCTGAATTTCTGGATCAGGTAGTGCTTTGGAAAAGAAGATCTGAATTTCTAGATCAAGAAATGGAGATCTAAACCTTAGAAAATAAGAAGACCTTTAGAAAAAGAACCTTTAGAAATATTGATTTTCACAGACAACACCACAGTTCGGTTCCAAACTAGAAATGATATGTGAAACGATGAGGTAGTGTTTTACTATGCTGGACTTGAACTTTCAATGAGGGGGAGAAGAGGTTGACTTGCAAAGTTAACACTCTGGTGTTCAAGTTAGAGAGAGAATAACGAGTAATGTGTGAGTGAGAAATGATTTAAATACTTGAAAATATTATACTTTCTCTCTTATATATTGGAAACAGTTAAAACTGTTTGCGCCAGCATGTAGTGCGGATAACTATCTAATTGATTTGGATAGTAGATGATATGAAATTGTCTGTTTTGAATGAGAATGAGAAAACATCAATTATTCTCCAGACTCGTTTTATTTATAAACCTTTCATCTTGTCTTTAGGTGAGTAACCCTAATAAGTTTTTTTAGGATTAATAGGCATTTTGCCACTGTCATGTGGGCGAACTTTAAAATAAATAAAAATACTCTAAGAAAATCAAGATTTCGTCCTTGTGATTTCAAGATTCCATTCTAGTAATTTCATTTTCATTATGTAATAAACTTTAATTATACTAATTATGCATGCTTTCAATTTATTACATATTTAAACTGAAATTACAAAGATAGAATTTTGAAATCACAAGGATGAAATCTTAATTTTTTACGGAATTTTTCAAAGTTTGTTCACATGACAGGGAAAAAATGTCTACTAACCCTTTTTATCATCATTTACACTCTTAATTTTTGATTGATTGTGAGATACACCCTACGGTCCTTATTATAAACACTAATCTTTTTTAAAATTTAATATAAATAATGTATCTGATCTTTATTATATATCAGAAACATTAGTTATCAAATAAATTTAAAAAAATTATTATTTATAATAATGATTAGAGAGTGCATTTTCTAGTAAGTCTCTTTCCTTTTCGTTAATTACTTTCCATTTCTACCAAAAATTAAATTAAATTATCTAGTAAGTTTAATTAGACTTTTTATTATAATCCATCCCACTAAACAAACATCAAGAGTAAAACACGGATCCACGTGTCCAATCGAAAAAATCTCAACCAGTGTTTTTCCCAACAGATAAATCACACTTTGAATCCCAAACAATCATCGTTTACCTCAATCGTGTTCCATTCTGTGATCCCAAATCAAAGAGAGTTCGAAAATGTCGTATTTTTCAAGGGGTGGTGGTGGAAACAGAGACGAAAGCGTTGATGATTTCGACGAATACGATCCAACACCATACGGCGGAGGTTATGACATTCACCTAACCTACGGTCGTCCAATTCCACCCTCTGAAGAAACATGTTACCCTTCAGGTTCAGCCAATGATGATTTCGATTACGATCGTCCTCAGTTTTCGTCTCAATCTGAACCTTCTGCTTATGGCGATGAAGCTCTTGCTACTGAATACAGTAGCTATTCTCGACCTAAACCTAGACCTGCTCCTGCTGGTTTTAACCCTGGATCTGGTGGTGGTTATAGTGGATCTGAGTCTGGTGGTGGTTATGGTGGATCTGAGTCTGGTGGTGGTTATGGTGGTGGGAGAAAGCAAGGATCTGGGTATGGTGGTGGGAGGCAGGAATCTGAATTTGGATCTGGGTATGGTGGTGGAGCCCAGGAATCTGAATATGGGTCTGGTTATGGTAGGAAGAACGAGGGATCTGAATATGGTGAATCTGGGTATGGTGGGAGGAAGCAAGAATATGGGAGGAGTGAGGAGGAGAGTCAAGGTTATGGGAGGAAGACTGAGTATGAGAGTGGTGGATCGGAATATGGATCGGGGTATGGTGGGAGGAAGAAGACTGGTTATGGAGAGGAGGAGGAGGGGTATGGTGGGAGGAAGAAGACTGGTTATGGGGAGGAGGAGGAGGGGTATGGTGGGCGGAAGAAGACTGGTTATGGGGAGGATGAGGGATATGGAGGAGGAAGGAGTGAGTATGAAGCAAAACCTAGCTATGGTAGGAGTGAGTATGAGGAGAAACCTAGCTATGGAAGGAGTGAATATGAAGAGAAACCTAGCTATGGAAGGAGTGAATATGAAGAGAAACCTAGCTATGGAAGGAGTGAATATGAAGAGAAACCTAGCTATGGAAGGAGTGAGTATGGGGTGAAACCTAGCTATGGAAGGAGTGACGATGAGGAGAAACCGAGCTATGGTTATGAGCGTCCTGAGAGGCGTCGTGATGATGACGATGATGATGAGAAACCGAGCTATGGTCGCAAGAAATATGTGAGTACTCTTAATTATGGATCTATTGTGGTTATGAAATTTGATTATCTTAGTTTAATGTTGTGATTTAGATGTTATTTTCTTCACCTGTGATATAATTTTGCTCCTCCGAGGGATCATTTGTTGTGTTATGAATTATGATCCCCACGTTACATAGTGTAGTCGAGATGAGTGTTGGGTCCTTTATGATCAGAGAAAGATCGTTTTCATTGTCGGTGTGATCAAGCCAGGCTTTATTTTTGGGCCTGAATTATAATTTTCATGTTTTTGTGTATATATGTGTAAAAATATATTTGAAATTACCATTTTTCCCTTTGGTAGGATCTTACATGCCGTGCTAATGATTAGAGTTTTACACTCTTTCACAAGCCAACCGATTCTACTTACGATCTCATGCTTGACTACATTGGCATTAGGATCTTGGTAGCAACATTTGTATTTCTTATATAACAATGAGGAAATGGGATGCTATGGAACCTATTACCATTCACTTCCATTCAATATCTTTCCACCAATCCAAACATATCCTTAGGCTCACGGTCTCGCACTGAATATTTCACTTGTGACAGTTAATTTATGGGCTCTTTGTTTAGTGTTCAAGTCTCAACTATATGAAAAATTTCAAAACATTTGAGTTGGTATTCATTAAATGATGTTTTCGTACGATGGCAGGGAGAAGATAACTCCGATGATGATGATGAGAGGAAGAAGCATTACCACAAGAGTCACCATCGCAAGAGCTATGATGATGACGAGTAATCAAAAAGACCGAAGTTGTTGCGTGCGTGGAAGTCATCCCACAGTTACTTATTAAATAAAGGGTTGACACATATCATACTTTCTTCTTTATTGTTTGGACTATAGTATGAAGTCTTGAGCTTTCTGAACTATTGTTCTAAACTAAATGTATTGTTGGTTTGGCTTTTGAGCTATTATAATATCCCTAATGTTTGAGTTGTTGTGTTACACTATATGTATGGTAAAGTCTGAATTTGTTTACACCTATGAATTTGGATACAACATTATGGCAAAAGTTTAGCAGATCTTAATGATTTTGGATATAACATTGTTAAACATTGTTTTAAATAGAACATTATAGCAAAAGTTCATCCATGTAGCGGATCTTAGATATAACATTGTTGAACATTGTTTTAAATAGAATATTATAGCAAAAGTTCATTCATGTCTTAACGAATTTGGATATAACATTGTTTTAAATAGAACATTATAGCAAAAGTTCAGTTCATCCATGTAGCAGATCATACTTGACGCCCGCATGGATGTTAGTGTTTGAAGTATGATTTAAAAGTCAAATATTTTAAATAAAATTATTTAAAATCAAGTAGGAGGATTATTGGAACATATTAAAATTTCGATACGGAGATAGAATGTTTGCGTGTTAATTGGGAAAATTCTATCTTCCATCTTGTTAGTTTACATACTACATTTACTTACCCAAAAAAATTTTAAGTTTGAGATTGTTTATTTCATTATACACGTTTCATTCTAAAACACACTAAAAGTTATTTGAGTTTTTTCTGATAGCTTTTTTTATTCTGCATTTTTGAATTGTCAAAGGGACAACTTCTTTTATTTTCTTTCTATTCATTCAATCTTCCGAGTATTTTTTGGATAGGGTGGCAAAAGGATCAATATTGAATTCTCTTTAAAGAATTATTAAAAAAATTTCTAATTCGAAAAAATTATTTAAGGTGGTCAAAAGACCATTATTGAATTCTCTTTGAAGAATCATTAAAATTTTTCATAGTATGAGAAATAATTTAGAATGATCAAACGATTATTATTTGAAGGTGTATTTCTAGGCCAATTATCTAGTGTATCTATTGTGTGTGTGTATGTGCGTATCAGTTTTGAAATGAGTTGTTTTACCTTAGAGGCGTCATGGTTGATCGCCTATCTTGCAAAACTTGGACAATATCGCATATTTTCAAAATCATAACACTATAATTTAAAGATGTTTTCAAATAGACTACCGAAAAAATTATTGATATTTCTGTTGTTGTCTTTGACAAATCTTTTAAGTTTGAGAGAAATCATTTCAAACATTGGTAATAGAAAATGCATATTTAGGGCGATCAAAAGATCATTATTGAACTTTTTTTAGAGAATTATTCAAATTTCACCTAGTTGAGAAATTACTTAGGATCACTAAACGATCATTATTCTATTATTCTAGAGTATATTTCTAGAATGATTATATATTGTGCAACACTAATCATATTAGTTTTAAGTCGAGTTGTTTTACGTTGGAGCATCGGGGTTGTTTGTCTATCTTGTAAATTTTAGATAGTGCTACAAAATGCCTTAAAGAAAACAACCTAGTTTGTAACTCAATCTAATAATTTTTTCTATGCCATACTTTCAAAATCATAAAATTTGTATTAAAAAAAGAGTGCATTGAATGTTGTTGTAAATTAATTGTATTTTTGGTTATATTTTTGGAATCTCAAAAAATTATTTTAGAGATGCAGAACTATTTTGCCTCTTAAACTGATTTAACTTAAGGTTAAGATTTTTAACTTTCGAGTTTAAACTAATGTTTTAAAAATCGGATCAAACTGACCGATTCAATCGGTTGGACTGAAAATCGGAGATGAATTCGGTTGGGTTAACCTTTCAAAGCCGCTAGTGGATCAAAATCAGAATTAAACTGAAAAAACCAGATTGAACCGTCCAAAACTGTTCGAATAAAAAAACCGGAGTCGATGTTGCAAAATCATCCGGTTTAAAAAAATTCATCAAATTGACCATTTTTTAAATTTTTAAATTTTTTTTAATATGTTAATATCAAAATTTAACATACATTTTTCAATCACAAAAAAATAATTTCGTGTGTATTTTACAACTATACAAACTTCTAAGTTTTGTCACTCTATTATAGTTTTTCATTCAACCACACTCCATCATCATGCTATTTCTTTCAAATATAGTCACAATGTCCGACTTTTTTGATTGTCGTTAAAGTTAATGTTTGTTGTTATCAAATAAGACTTATTTGTCGTAGTTCAACTCAAATTCTATTTTTTATTGTTTAATGATGTATATTGTATTATTTATATTTTGATATTCTATCTTATTTAATTTAAGTATTTTTAATTATTTGAACTTTATTTTATTTATTATATTATTTTAATTTTAGTTTGAATTGGTTTAATTTATTTTATTGTAATTTTTAGTTTGGTCAAAATATTTTTAAATGATGGTTGAAATGAAGTGTAAAACTATGCTATGTTATGTATTATTGATATTGTTGTATTAAATTTGTAATGGACTTTTGAAACATTTATTTTATTAAGTTGAGAAGATATAATAATGTGTGATATATATATGAAATTTAGTTTTATGTTATTAGTTTATTTAATAAACGATTCGACCATAAATTTAACTAATTGAACTTTAAACTGTAAATTCACCGGTTCGATCTCCAGTTCAATTTTTAAAACATTATATTTAGACATAATTTTAACATCAAAATTTGCTCCAAACTTCCTTTTATATAAATTTTTTAACATAGATCACTTTAACCATCTTAACTCACTTTTATGTATAATCAATTTTACAAAATTAATTAATTCAAAATCAATACTTATTATCACAAAATCAAATACAGTCTCACTCACTTTTAATCATAATCAATTTTATAAAATCAATTCACTTAAAATCAATTATTATCAATGTAAAATCAAACACCGCTAAATATAGTCTCACGAAAAATTCTAGACCAAGTGGTGATAATGAAGTACGCGGAACCAAACACACATGCATTTTAGACCAAGCATATAAATGCCTTTACATAAATAAGATTGAAGCATTCAAATATACTCAATTGGCAGGTTTTAGTGGTAAGCATTGTTAAGAGTCCTTAACAATGTGATCACGAGATTTTGCTCATGGATATAAAAATTTACTATTTTAAAAAGACAACTCTTTAATATGATTCATATCTCCAAAATGATATAGTTGTGTGTAGATGATAGTTTGAGAGAAAACCAGGTATTCATACTGTGGCTTTTATCATTTGTATTTTGAAGGGTCTTATGGAATTTTCAATCAAGTGTTTGATCATCAAAAAATAAACCAGTCTTCAGATTGAGTGTAAAAGAATAACTAATAAGATTCTAAATAAAAGAACTTTGAAAGTGTAAGGGTTGTTTCTAATATCTACCAATAAATTGTAAAAGATAAAAGATGGACTAATCAGATTTTTGAATGCACAAGGAACAGACAGGAAACATGAATTAATAAAATAAAGAAACAAAAAACTGTGTGAAGAAACTTAGAGGAGCTTCTTCCTCTCAAAGAATGTCTTCAAATGCCATAGCTGCATACCGGCAACAGAAATGCAAACGACAAATGAAAGGAAAACGAAGATAAACATCTTGGAGTTGGTTGCTTTGTTAAGATCTTGCATTTCTTCTTCCCTGTGTTGGACATAAGGATAAAAGGTCATCAAAGTTCAGTGAAAAACAATTAGAATGAAAAAGCATAGCCGAATTTCGAAACATTAAACATAAAATAGAAGCATCCTATCTGTGAAATAAAACTACTTTGTTTCTATACAGGATAACATGTAAGCAAAGAAATTTCATTCACAAGGGTGGAGCAAAGCAAGCATGTTGGTGACTGATGCGGATAAAACTATTTTCTTTTTCTACCTTATGGTTAAGTCTAAGGGGTTTGCTATGCAGACCTAGGGATTTAATCTATGTATGAACCCAAGGGAGAGAGACAAAACTAGATGAACAAATAACCACTTTTGGTTGGCATGGCAAAAGGAAATAACTGATGCATCGCATTAAAAGAAAGTTTGAATGAACTCAACAAAACACCATTTCCATCAAAAGATCACATGGACAGCCATAACATAGAAGATGAACGATTTAGTACTATCAAGAGAGTAGTTAGCAGAAGTTATGACATCCACACCTTTCACGAAGATAAAACATCTCATCATGGATGGATGTAACGGCATCATAGAGCTTCTTCAACTCAAATTCCATTACCTAGAAAGTGAGAAGATATAACATATTAACAAACATACAAGAACAAAATCAGAAATACCTATAACTTACAAAGGTGAAACAAATTAGGGTGGTATTTAGAAATCAGCTTACTGGTTTGTGTTTATTCATAATAATAAACAAGGAATTATAATGAAAGACACAAATAAACAATGATACTACAAAACATTCTCACTTGTAGGATTTGACATTTTAAGCAAGAAAAATACACAGCCAAAAGTAAGGAATGAGATAGCTAAGATAAAAGTTGGATTCAAAACCGAGATATAAGCAATCCAGGTTATTGGCATATGCTTTCTCATACAGGTTATGCCTTTCCTTGTTTTCTCTATGAACACATCCTGAAGTGAATTACATTTTCAGGAAACTCCGGTTACAGAGTTTTTCATGCAAATGTATGTGCATTACATCACAGAAAAAATGGTCAAATAAAAAAATTAAGCTAAGATTTTTGAAAATTAAAAGAGCATGTGGGAAACCAAGAACATTGTGATATTATCCCTCAATTCATTATCAACAGTTTCAACAAGTAACCAATTATACCAAGACAGTACAACTCTCTACTAGTGTATTCATGATATAATGGAAATGAAGCAGCGTAGAATCATTTAAAATCCGACATGTATCCAAAATCATTTAAAAAGCATGTGAAAATTTATTTGGGCACTAAGTATTATATTTGATTTAAGGGAAAGAAACACCATTCAGGCAATATTTTTAGAGTTGCAAATGGATCCATTTGGTGGTGTTGGTTACATGTCTCAAACAAAGCCACTGGGCTCTATCAAAAGCCTAAGTTTTCCATAAATCCATTTGGAGAGCAATGCTAAGTAATAGGCTCTATTAAAAGCCTAAATTTTCAAAAAATCTATTCGGAGAGCAATTCTTTGTAATATAGTTTTGCAAATAGTATAGCATAAACGTATTTTTCACTAACTAATGTAATCTAGATTTAAAAAAATCCATTGGTTGCAAGCTTCCCTTCTAGAAACAATATCATCAATATCCATTTTCATGTCGGATTGGCTACATAATTATTTGCAATAAAGCACCTCACACACAGAGCTAAAATGCAATAATAATAATGATACTAATAATAATAATAGTAATAATAATAATAATAATAATAATAATAATAATAATAATAATAATAATAATAATAATAATAATAATAATAATAATAATGATAATGATAATAATAATAATAATAATAATAATAATAATAATAACAATAATAATAATAATAATAATAATAATAATAATAATAATAATAATAATAATAATAATAATAATAATAATAATAATAATAATAATAATAATAATAATAATAATAATAATAATAATAATAATAATAACAGTTTTCCAACAGTACATGTCCAAATGCAAAGTCTGGAAACAAAAAGAACAACAATACTTACTTCAACCTGCCCTTTCTTGGCAACCTTAGACCAATCTTTGGCAGCAACCCCAGATCTCCATTCAAACTCAATGGTCACAATTGACGGGGCCATCCTACTATCTGGTATCCAAAAGCAAGCCGTGTAGTCACCACTTTCAGTTGCAGTAAATGCAAAAGTACCCGACTCCACATGATCCCCATAGTGATTACTGATTCCCATAGGAGAACTCACCTTTCATTGGCAAACAACACACAAACAACAAAGTCAAGCCTCAACACCTATATAGCACCTACACTACATGTTGTAGACATGTCTCAAGTGTCTAACACATGTTAGTGTCTGACATCAACACAACAAAGACAGTTGTGATTGCATACAATCACTTTTATTTTCTTAAATTATTGAAAGTGTTGTGTCCCTATGAAGCACATACTCCCCCATTGGTAATCTTGCTTTAGTTCATGTTTAACCTTTTGAGATGTGTGTGAGTTTGTCCAAAAGCCATTAAGCAAAGAAAAAAACAATTTTTTTAAATGCTTGTCTGAATTGTTCGATATGTGTTTTAAGAATGTCATTAAAGTGTCGGACACCGGTTGCAATAGTGTCAAAACAAAGAAAAAAAACTTTTTGAGACACTTGTTAGACTTTTCCAACACATCTTGTACGTCATACAAGTGTTGGACACCGCATGGCGCATTGTGCATGCTTCATAGCTGTGTCCAATATCTTAGCTTCACAGCCCATGCAAAACACTCCAAATTAAGAAACTTTATTATTATAACTCAAAATAAATCACAAACAGCCAAATGCATTTCCATTTGAGAATTAATCTCCTTCCCCCAATGGATAAAAATTCAAAATTTTGAAGGGGATTCTCATATATTCCCTACCAAAGAGTTTAAATAGTGTCTTTTTTCTTCTTAAAATTATTCATTGTCAAGCAAAGAAGAAAAACAAAAAATAACTCAAATTTAACACACATTCGAAACTAGGGCATGGAAATTGAATCACGGACTATTTCATACCTTGAGCGTGATCCGGTGGGTATCAGGAATTGGTTGCCCTTCATAAGGACTAACGACACTGTACTTTCCTACCGTCATGGCATTGTTCGGAATATTTTCTGTAATGCACTTAGTATGACCCGATTTAAGCTCAAACCTCATCGAATTCACGAGACTACACGTCAATGCGAGGGTGAGAATTTCGAGAAGAAGAATCGAATTAGACATTGCAGCGATTTGGGATCCGAGAGGGAGATTAGGGTTTTAATTGAATCAAAGGAGGGACCAAAACGACGATGGGAAAGAGCTACGGTGAACTCAAAACGAAGAAACGCAAAATGTAACAACCGCAATTTTGATTCTGTTACGGTGGTTACAGTTGCAGAGATTTTCAAAAAACTAAAAGAATTTAATTTATCATTTAAAAAAATAAGAAATATATTTAGGAAAAGAAGGGTAATTATATTTATTTACTAAGAATTTAATTACTAAAAGTAGAATATATACATATACATTTATAGTTTTAATGATCTGTTTTTGTTTAAAGACACCTTGAAGTTTAATCATAGTAAAATATGTCTGTCTCGTATGTATTTGACATCGGTAGACAACTAGACATTGCAAATTTATAGAAAAACTAAGGAATTTATAATTGAATACATTCTATCATATTAGGTTTTTTTATTACTTATTCCATATTTCAATAAAAACTACTAATATACTAGTATGTTATAGCCGACTTCATGGAAGATGTTTCTAATATGATAGTGATAGTTTTCGAATGGTAGGAGAAGATACATGTAAAAGTTAATATGAGATTTAAATAAAATTTTATAAGTATGAGTTAAATCGTATATAAGTGTGTTTTAAAGTCACATTTATATAGGAGAGATTATTGTAAACCGTCTTGAAGGTATTCAGCATGGAGCACTGGTGACTGCTGGATAAAAATCAACAATTCTCAAAGAAAGAAATGTGTGCTCCTGTGTGGCGCAATCAGATACAGGTTCACATGTACATCACTGAGTTAAGCGATTGGAATAGATTATGCTTATGGATTGAGTTGGTCGTTGTGAGTTGTTGGCCTGTTTGGAGCAGTTTCACACCAAGTTCTTGTTGTTAATCATAAAGCGAGGATTGTTGTCATGAAGTAAAGTCAACCCAAACGTATGAATTGTGGTAACAGTGTCCACTGTGAGATATTTCTCTTTGACATTGATGCTCTATGGAGAAAGGGTTGTGTGGTGGTTGTGCTTAGTGAGAGTATTGGCATCTAGAACATGCACATTAAATGCACTTCCTACATACAAAACATTATAGCCCCCATGTGCGTAAGGGAGAAAGGTGACGTGTCTAGGTCCACTCAAGTGTAGTTACATAATATAGGCGCCAGTTAAGTAGTTGGATTGAACCTCTGATCTTCTAGTGGATTGTGACTGTTGAACTTGGGGCTTAGTTTGCATATAAAGTGAGAACTTGAGTTTTGATTTCACTTTCGACTTATTCTTCCCTTCAAGGGGTTATTTGAGAGAGTTTTCATTCAATCTATTTTGTTTCGTATTTGTTGTTGGAGGTTCTCTAATTTCAGTTGTCTGGCCACTCATTTTGCTTTTCTTTCTACTTGGTCCAAACTCAGTATCACGACCCAAGAATGGCTGAGACCCAAAAGTGTGAAACCCAATAAAGCAAGATATGCTTATGATGGTAGTTTATAATGATATTAGACCAATGATGATAGAGGAAAAAAAAAGCATTCTCATAGTTATAATTCAAAAGAATGTTCTATGGTCTTGAGAGTAAGCATAGATCTGTTCTAGGAAAGCACTTGATCAGACAAAATGATTTCAGATAGATAGTCGGATGAAAAAATGTATTATACTCTGACATTTATCCATCTTGACGATGATTATTTGGCCAACAGTTTTAGGTCTCCAAAAATCCTAGAGAAACCCCTATATAAGAGACCGCATACACTTTCTGATCTTTAGATCTCTCACGATAATCATTGACTTAGGAGCTAGAGTATTTGCAATACCACCTTTAATCCATTCAAAGTAACAAATCATAGAGGACACTTAATCCTAACGCTTCTTCGCTCTGGCCAAATTCATTATTAAGTAAACGCTTCCTTGTCGAAAGGAACATTAATGACATTTTTTATTGGAACGAAAGTTAACTTTCAACCATTTAATCAAACATCCGAATCACAAATCAAGGGAAAAACTGACCCATATTTCCAATTACACATGATTTGTGGTAGCGATATCATGAGAAGAAACCTTAACCAAGGAAAGGGGCTCACAACTTCCTCACTTGACCTAGATAACCATATTCAACCTCCTTAGGAGGTGAAGGCGCTTATCGTTCCTCCATAGAATGATGAACCTTAGACACCGATGGCAACAAATGAAGATCCACTACATGAAATATGTGACATATCACTTTGTGCCCGCATTTCACGGGACTAGAAGATGAACAACGAAACTAATGTCTTGTTGAAAAACTTGCTTACGACGGTCAATAAATAATCTGCAACCTTAGTGTTTTGGAACGAACAATTTCAAAAAGTCGAGATTCCAAACTACGACTATTTCCAACATCCTAGACTCTATAACAACATAGTCATAAACCATACAAATGATTCCTCTAACATCAGAGGCCTGAAGGATAATAAAGGTGCAGAACATGTTCCCCACCACCATTTTGGGTGTGAATATGGAATAGAGAAACGGTCTAGAGGGGGTGAATAGACCCTTTTAAAAATTAAATCGATTTTCAAAATTCTTTCTTGAGATTTTCAAAATTAAATTCATAATTTACGTTGCGGAAAGCGATTTGCTAAAATAGAGAAGTTATGCTTATCTTGGAAGAAATCACAAATGCAATTATATTACAATTCACAATTATTCATAGATTGTTCAAAGACAATAACAAATAGCTAAAAACTATATTGAAATGATAAATTGAAAAGTTTCACGAGAAGTGTTCTTTACAAAATTCAATTGCTATATAATTTTAATCAGCAATAAAGCACAAATAGGTTCTGACTCTAACAAAGCCTACACTTATGTAATTAATCACTATCAACATAATTAATGATAAACTACACTAAGAAGCAATTATCTAAACATGTAATAACTTATGAAAAATTAAAATGAGAGAGAGAGAGAGAGGGAGAGAGAGAGAGAGAGAGAGAGAGAGAGAGAGAGAGAGAGAGAGAGAGAGAGAGCACCATGATGTATAAAGGTTTGGATCTATCTGTTGGGTATGAATATGTAAGAAAAATGGTCTAGAAGGGGTGAATAGACCCAATTAAAATTTAACCGCCGTTTACTAAATCAGAATTTTTTTGGAAAATAATTGTGAGTGAAAGGTTTGATGCGAAAATGCGAAAATTATATTGTTTGAATTTCGATCAACTTTAACACTAGATCGTTTCACAAGTACCAAAGCTGAATATGATGAAACACTGGGTATTAGATTGATTTGACTGTGTAATTCACAAGAAGTGTTAATACAATGATTCAAAGAACAGAATTCTAACGTAAATTTTGTTTCTCATAATATTAATCACCAATCAAGCTAAATAAAGTATCCAATTCTAATAAAACATAATGCTTACAGAATAAATCGCTATCAATGAATCAACGATAAACTACAATTTAAGTGAAATATCTAAGTATGCAAATACTATGAAATTAAATGCAAGAGAGAGATAGAGACATACAGACACACACACATATGACACTGATATTTATAGTGCTTTAACATTCGTCCTCGCTTTTCCTACATGCATTCTTCAATGGTTTCCTATTGGACCCTGCATAGTTCCTTTTATTTGAAAAGTATTTGCAAGAGTTTATACAATCATCAATCCACAATACAACTTAGAAAAATAAACTCTCCTATTTGGATCTTGACTTGTATACAACACAATTTTCAAACTCTTCTGCATAATATTTACTCGATTCATATTTCTTGAATCATTCAATATCACTAATTTGTTCAAATCCTTTGTATGTAACAGTCAACCCCTTGGTTCTACTGATTCCTTGAGTGGTGAATTGTAAGATGATTTAAGAAGAACTGTGCCTTATCCATAGCATTCCACACAGTCACTACTAAGGAATTTCTAGAGAGAAGAACCTACTTATTTTTAATAGAATTTGTCTCCACCATTGAGAATCACCTCAATATTGCAAACAATATAAAAAAACCCAACCAGATCTCCACGAACTTTTAGTTTCAAGGAGGCGCCTCTTTCAATCAATTACAATTCTCTCGTTATCAAGATCTGAATCAAACTGAATTTGAAGAAGCAAGAGTTTTGTTACAAGACTTTGCACTTTCAAAATAGAGGAGATTGATTGTTCACTTTATTACAATGAAAATTATGATTAGATGATAAGATATTATGGGAAAAATGATAACAAAAAGATTTTATATGTGTTTGAGATTAAGCACTGAAAAAGTTAAAAAAGTTAGTTAGATTCGAATCAAGAGCACTTCATGATTTGAATCAAATGAACAAATGAAGTGGAATAAAAGACAAAATAGAATTTTTAACATTTGTCAACTGATTGGAATCATGAGGAAAGTTTGATTTGAATGAAGGACCTCGTGAATCGAATCATGTACAAAAAATGACTCGGATTAATGCAACAGGTCCAACTGGAAAATGTTGAAAAAGTGTGTGATTCAAATCATGTTCAAAATTTGATTTGAATCAAATCAAGCACAGGTGGACATCAGAAAATTGATTAGAACCATGTGTAAACAATTATTTTCATCAAATGGTTTGAAAAATCTATATTTTCCTTTGTCCAATTTAATTTGAATCATAAAGTGTGTTTGATTTTCATGATTCGAATTAAACACATAAAATCTCAAAAACACCCTACTCTCCCCATTCATTTATTATAAAAATCATAATCAAAATAGTTTTCGGAATTATCAGAGATACACAAGTAGGATGCCACATCCCTTAAAACTCATGAAGTATCGAGCCACTTCATGTCTTTATTCCTTATAAAAATACTATAAATTAAACAACGGATTGTTCAAATTGTTCACATCAATAGCGCTAAGGCTTTAACAACAAATAACCTCCACAAACTCGTGGTTCAACATAATTTGAAAAACAAGACACGTAACAAATGAAAAACAATGCAAAAGATAACAAATTCCCTTCCTTCCCGTGTTACATATCAGAGCGACTTCTAAGACTC